CCGAATTACCTAGAGGAGCTGCTCTCCAGGCTGCCTGGAAGCCACGTGCATGTGTGAGCACACACATGCACATGGTGCCCCCTGCCTGACTGCCCTTCTTCCACTCCCCCAGCCCCTCGCAGGCTGGAACTGCCTACCTGCAGAGAGCTTTTTTGCAAAAGTGGAAAATCTGCATGTTTCTCTGTTGAAATGGGAAATCCACATTTTTCTCAGTTAAAGGGAAAATCTGCATTTTTTCCCCCTATTTTTCCATGGGAAACAGAAAAGCCAGACTCCTGGTGATAAGACTTGCACAGTGGGAGGAGGAAGAGAGAGGGGACTTGAGCTGCCCCTGTGGAGGTGATGAGGCAGGGAGAAGGTTAGCTCTGGTTTCCACTGATTTAAACCTACGAAAGCCTGAGGGGAAAGATGCTAGGCAACGGTTGCTGTGTGATGTACAGGCAGTGGTCTCATCACAGGGAACCCTCAGACAAACAGTACAGATGTGGTTGGGCAGGGGATAGGCAGTACATGAGATCTTAAAAAATATACTGGGCTGTGCACACACAACTCTTCCCCAGCAGTGGACCCTCTGGAGACAGCATTCCCCTTAGTGCTGGCCTCTACTGCAATTTGCATCAAAGTGCATGCAATTTGATCCCTTTTGGATCAACCAATCTGAAGTGAGCCCCTGAAGTGCGAAGCATAGAAGAATTGTTTTTGGCAAACATCTAGTTGGTCTAATAAAAGTTATCGCCCCTACCATGAATTCTGATGCCTTTTGCCTCTAGACCAGTACAGCTACAACCTGGATACCTGAAGCACGGAAAACAAAATGTGTCCATGGACTGAACATAGCACATCTGCATTAGACCTCAGGAAACTAATTAAAAATAGCCAAGTCACTCCTTTCCTCCCATTCCCTGCAGACACGGTTCACAAAGTAAATGCCTGAGTCATCCAATAAGAAAAGGATTTGAAAAACACTCTCATTTCCCGGGTTATTTGACCCCAGCAGTCTTTCCTGCCCGGAGCAGGGGAGCTGAACCCTGTGATCTCACAAGGTCCCTTCCAGCCCCAAATTTCTGTGAATCTTAGAAAAAATATACGTGTGTTCATTGCACAAAATAACATTCTCCTGATGCACCACAAGGTGGTACTGCAACATAAGCCTTTTTATCTAAAGCCAGGAGCCAGAAAACAGCACAGTGGCAATAGTTTCTCTCACCCGGCAGCACATTAACAATAAACATGCCTGTATTCAACTTGCACGCTCTTTCTAATGCAAGCAACTTTCTGCCCTGATTTTTCCCCCTCTCCTTTTTATGTAAGTCTTAGGAAAAAACCAGATTAATTCTTGGCAGGAAAACATATGCAAAACTGTAGCAGCTTCATTGCTTATCTTCAGTTTATTAGGCTGAAGCATACAAACCTATGCACTGAAATCAACAGATAACAAAGTATCATTTTCTATGTCCGTCTCAGTAGGAGGCATTTTGTTGTTGAATGTTTTCACTGCTTGTCTTCCAGCTATCAAAGCTTCTTGGATTTAACACAGACAGTCTCACAGAAAACACGTTTCACATTCCCCTGCAGTGACACCGCCTTTGGACGTGACCCTTCCCTCACTGACTTTGGAATCAGGATATCTCTCGTTTCTCCTGATTACTGTAATTCTAGAGGGAAAAGTGGAAGCAGAAAGTCAAACATACTCATTCCAACTTCTTCAGTTTCTGAAGAGTCTCTGCCGTGCTTTGGCAATCATTGGAACATGTTACAGTGAACATACATATACATTTCAAATTAAAATATCATTGTGGGGTTTCTGGAATCCCCTTTTTTTTACTGAGTCCACCCCAGATCTGCCATGCCCAAAAGTTACCATCATCAAATTATTGGTTTACAGAGAAACAGAGGAACTATATGAATATGGGAACTGAACCACCTTCTCAGATATGAAGTCTTTGCAATATCTGGTGCAAAGCTGTTAGGTGGGGAGTGTTAGGAAGCTTGCTTTGCTGCTGCAATATACCTATTTTCTGGCCAAAGACGACGATTTGATTTCCAGAACGGTTAATGTAGCACTTTGTGGAATACTAACAAAACCAAGTACCATTCTTTTATGGAGCAACAATTCAATATACTCCCCTCTCCCACACCTCAATTTTGGCTATTAACAAATGATATCTGAACCTTATATGAATTATTTCCTCACTATGTCTTTTCTTGTACTTGTTGATGACAAAATGCATTTATCAAATTATGATGTCATATTCTGGTGCTGCCTCAAGAGAAATGCAGCCTACTTCAAAAGATGGCTATTTCCATTTTCCAAATGACTGCAGTACCCAGGCAAATCAGTAACGATAGGGAAGAACATAAATAAGAAAAAGGGCCTAGCAGTTAATTGGGTCTTGATAAAGTATGTAGTTTGGAGCACAGCTCTTCTACTTAAATGCAGCCTTAGGACCCAATTCATGTGCAAATGTATGACGATAACCTTAAAACTTCCTATCTCTCTTGAGAGTCCCACTGGGATATACGTCTGTGCTTTCACTCTCAAAATGTGCCCATTTAAACAGAGATCCATTGTCTATGTCAATTTAGCAGCACTTTCTTTCAGCACAAATTAAATCTGATCTCTCCAAACCTTCATGGATTATTTTTCTATCTTTCCATTTCTGGATCAATGCCTTTTTTTCTTCTTTTTGTAATCAATTATCTGTCTAGCATCTTTCCCATATATAGCTGTCCATGATCTGCTTGCCATCCAGCCTGTAGCTCTCCAGCTGCGATCCCATCATTGTCCACACTTGGATTGTAAATCTCCAGCAAAAAGAGGGTGCTGCAGGATTTAGTGCTGGTAATTAGATAGGAAGCATGCTTTCCTTCTGAACGTTACTACTGAGCAATGGCCCAGCATGGTGCTGGGGCAAATCAAACTTAAACAAAGGTTTGGATCACAAAGGGCTAGATTGTGATTTAAAACTACACACCCAGGCAAAGGAGAATCTCCCTGACAACCACTGAATTCAATGGGTCTACTTGTGAGAATTGGAGCTCCCTAGCATGAATTAGTATTACACAATTTGGCCCAATGTGGTATGGTTATGTAGCCAGTCTCGATACTGAGCGCTAATGAAAAATTCATTAACATTTAGCATTGGTAAATCCATACCAGAAGGTCAGAGTTGGTGTTATAGACAACTGAATGGAAACCTGTGACAGGCTAGTTCAATACAATGATCTTCCACTGAGAACCCTTGGAAAAGCTTTTGATATTTTTCATTCCCTTTCCCTGTCCCTGCAGTGCTGAATCTAATATAGAATGGGACCAGCCAGATTAATCACTGTGAACAGCATCTGTTGAAGGTTTATAACTTTTTTCCCCAATCACACATTGTAGCTGAATCTATTCCAATGTCTGCAACCTTATTAATAATTTCTAAGGATAAACTAAATAGTTCCCGTGAACAATTTTCAATTTATAAGTGTCTGAAAACTCTTCCATATTTGTGGTGTGTAATCAGTTACCTAAGCTGGTTTGGTTTCTGTCCCCTAATTGGATGACTGAATCTTTTATAAACCAGAGCTCTCCAAATTGCAAATAACCAATAATGCACTATTACCATGAATTCTCATATGAAAAATCACTTGTATGAACATTTATGAAATGTTCAGGAGTTGTAAAAGTTCACAGTTCTGTCAGTTTAGAGAACATTGGTGAACAGCAACTAATATCAGCCTGTACATGATATGTAGTGAATCAGTCCAACTATTTGTAAATATAATTGTCAATCTGCTTTTCAGAACTCAGCCAGCTGTATTAGGGACAAAGCATAAAACAGAATGACAGCATACTGAATAAGGGCACAGGAAAGCCGGCTAGAATAGATTCTCTAAACTCTGGAGCATTGACATTAGTTGATACAATTTGGATCTGAAGAAACCATCTAGCCCTTGAAAATAAAGTACACAGAAGGAAGTGCCTCAATGTTTATAATCTGCTATAGTTTATATATAAAAAAAGGAAAAACAAAGTTACATTCTTAATAGCTTATGTTGAGCCAAATCTTGCCTTCATTGCAACTGGAAGCTAAATTTAGCCCTTTGTATTTTAAATAAAATGCTAGAAATATTGTATATACATATATATCAGCTGTTTATGTATGCAATTTAACCATCTAAATCAAAGTTTTAAAATAACGCAACATTTTCCCAAAACACTTGAAATGACTTTTTCTCTCAGTGCATCTGAACTGACTTTGGACTTCATGCATACAAACTGCCTGAACAGAGAGAAACAAAGAAAGTGTGCAATTTCATTAGTATCTATCTTACTAGTATGCAGGGCATTAAACCTGATGTGTGCTACTGTATGGCATTAATTTATTGACCGTTTTAAGATGGTTTCCAAGATGCACCATATTTCTTCATAACTAAATATTAAGTAATAATTCATGGAGCACCCAATCCAAAGTCCACTGAAGTAAGCTTCTCATTCACATCAATGGAGTTTACATGAAGCCCCTTATTGTTTTGTTGGGAACATGTGTGATGATTCAAGTAAACAAAGAAAATGAGGAACTAAATGAAATGCATGAACTTGTGCTAAATACTGGGCATAACTTTATTTGATTGAACACTTTGAAGTTACTGATTCTTGCATGGAATATCAATTCTCTCTCAAAACTGTAGTGTCTGAGAATAAAGCTAAATTGGAGGGATTAATTAGGCATGGAATCATAAATGTAATTATCTATTTAAAAGTCACACGGCTTTGCCTTTATATATCAAACAAGCTACTTAGGGAGCTTAATTGAATTCAATCCAGAATTAGTTTTATTTTGACAATATCCACCTATCAGTTAAATTTCAGTGGCTAAAGGATATTTTGAATGAATGACTTATCTTGAAAGTGGGAATTTACATGTAATTTTAGGAGACCGATGCCAATCATATTGAACTGTCTTAGAGAAGATTACATTTCAAAATCCCAGCAGACAGTGTAAGGGAACTCCTTCATACCAATGCTATTTCTGCTCTCTTTTGTTAGGGGGAAAAGAAGATGCAGGAGATTGATAAGATGATGATTTACATTCTCCCACAGAAAATATGATATAGCCAGGGTGAGACACAACTCTCATCTCATTAGATTTACTTCTCTTTGGAATGGGTAAAACGTAAATACCCATGCACAAAAATAGAATTTAAAAAAATAAAACTCCTTTGAGCACTGTATTTTCTGCACTGAATTTACTTATTATGTCTTTTTCCATAAAAAAGCATCATCAAAAAGAACTTGAGCCAGTTTTGTATTAAAAGGCCTATAGAAATCTCTTAGAATAGCCTTTGTTGTTGGTAGCATGGGTCCCAGACTTCGATCTTCAGGCCGTCTAGTGTTTGATGCAGGACTCTTGGTAATCAGGGCTTCCTGTTTCTCACTTAAAGGCCCTATGGTAAAGAGAACATTATTACTGTAATACATATTTCCCAAAATGTTCATGTTGAAGGCAAATGACTAAGTAAACAGATTTGTCACGAAAAGATTTATGGAATGGGTGCTAGCAGAAATTATGCTTCAGAATATTGGATAGGGGTTTACTTTAGTAAAATAAATTACACTTAGAAAACATAGGAGAATTTGTTTTCTTATCAATTAATCATCTGTACAACAAGCAATATGAATCATCTTGGGAAGAAGAGATTTGCTTTCTGGAAACAAACTGTGACAGTAAAAATAACTGTTGTTGTGCACTCTTAGAGCTAGGGACAGAAATTACACACAAACTCGTAGGTGATCAGAAACTGGTGCAAATCTGTAACACAACAGAACTTCAGTGCACATAAACTACTTTCAAAATGGCCAAAAGTGATTTAAGATAAACCAGGATGGATGCAGTATTAGACTTAACAGATTTGGGTCAAATTGGTTTATTGAACATCTGTCCCAAATCCCATCCCTATTCAAGTTAACTCACAGTCCCCCAGCATCCCAGGATGCTTTGCACCTTCCCCACAAACCATCCCCCCCCCGCACCCCACCTCACAGGGTGGGCGGGCTGGCCTTGGCCCAAACTGTCTGCTCCAACTGTGCAGGGAGGTGTGCTCTAGTACCCCCAGGTTTTTGGTCTGGGCCACTGCAGGCATGTGACTGCATTTCTGGAATCAAAAGCAAATCTCCGTTTACTTGCTTATTGGATCAATCTATGCAGTTTAAACTAACCTGCAAAGATTGAATTGATTCAGCCTTGGGTTTTTTGTACTGTTGACGGTCTGTACTCAGCCTTGGGTAAACCACTATTCCATTGTGTTCTCTTTGTTCAGTTGCCTGATACTTGCAAGAGTGGCATTCAGGCAGGCATCTCTTGGGTATCAGTTTCATCATCTTTTTAAGAAACTCGGGGCCCTAGCACACGTTCAAATTGAAGATGGATAGAACTCAGCTATAAAGTTGTCATGCATTTTAAAGTACTAACTTTGTAACTAACTGGCTCTTTTTAGAGTCGGGTGGACATTTTTATGGCACGATAACTGCTTTGCACGTGTGGCCAATCTAAATTTATTGTGCAATTTACCAGTTAACTGTGTAATATACTCAGTTTGCGGCAGAGGCCTCTAAGACCAGGCCTGAAATTGGGGGTGTCCCATTGTTTCTGGTGCTGAATAATTCTCCTCTTGAATCAGAAACTCTTTGTTTTGGGCACTATACAGCCTCCCCCAAACTGATCTGACTGAGATCTGAGTCTCCTATTGTGCCAGCTGGCACACGATAAGCCTCTATAAAGGAAACAGCTTTTCCTTTCAAATGGCACTTGTGAACTGCATGCCCAGCATATGGTCTTCCCATATGCACACCTTTTGTTTGGAGGTGTAGTGTATACCTCTGTTGTATCAAACATGCCAGCACTAAGTTTAAAGGCCAAACATTTTACAGTGCAACTTGAATAGGCAGCGCAGTTGCCAGATTCTTTATCTGTTCAGTCTTATAAATTAAGGTCCTCTTACCATCTAAACCAGTGTCTGGATCAGCCAGAATATGTCATAGCCAAATCTCCATCCCCAAATCAACACTGGGCATCATTCAATCTGCCAATTTTGTTCTGAGGATTAGCAACAGCTGTCTTACTTAACAACAGTCAAAATGCTATTCCCCAAAAGACTAGAAATGGTGCCTTTTACAATGCTCAGATTTAGATTCTGGATTGCTTTGAGCTGGCAATGAAGCATACCATGGCAGCATTTCAACCAGGCTATTTAAGCAAGCTCAAGGCAAGCTCTTAGTCCTCCTGGTAAAGTCCATGAGAAAACAAGACTCAAATGAGTTCAGTAGAAGCAGGATCAGACTCCATATGGGAAAACATATCCCTGAAACTTCATACTTATGATTTTCTTTTTAAATCTAATTATTCATTTGTACATGATCTTCCCACACTATCTTCTCAAATAAACCTGCCATTGAAAACAGCGATTTTTTTTTTCTGGGTCAGTGCTATAGGACTAGCATCACTGTCAGCAATATACTCAAATTTTATATGCTGTCTCCTTCAAAAAAAGCCATGTGATGCCTACCTAAATCCAGAAACTGGAAGACCATGTGCATAGTGTATTTGACATTGGATGCATGATCCTCTAAGCGGAGAACTAGAATCTGATCTTTGTCAAAGACAGTCAGCCAGTCCAAGAGATATACAACATAAAGGCCAACCTGTAGCCTCACCTGAAAAACAAAAAACAAAAATAAATTAAATTAATTCATTTATGATAACTTATGCTGGAATAAAATGAGCATCCACTCCTCTCTCTCCTTCTAGAGAAAATGCAGACTAAGGTTTGCCTTCCTATGAGGAAGATTTTTAAAATAAGATGTCTACAAAAGAGGAAATCTTTATCATGCAAGACTTGGGCACTGAGTAGCTATATTGCAAGTGGCTCACTGAAGTCAAAGTCCAACCCTTCAGCAGTGCATCCCAATACTGGAAAAATTTATATACAAATTTAGTAAGGGCCCACTCCAATACACTTAGGGCCAAATACTATGAATTGCTGAGAATTCTGATGCTCAAACATTGAAACAAACTGGACCAGTCGCAGACTGAAAGCTAAACCCATGAATAAGTACATTCAGCTCAGTACATTCAGAATACTTAGCAGCACTGAGAATTACCAAGTAGTGCAGAGCCCTATGCCTCCAAGAAGATGCTGTGAGCTTTGAGACTCTATTGTAGCCAGAAGTAATTACCAGAAGTAATTCAAGGCACAGACTAATATGCACACCTTTTGTTTTGGAGATGCAGTGTATACCTCTGTTGTATCAAACTTGCATTTTATAACCTTTTATCTACAGCAGTATCAGTGACAATACACCTCAATAAAAACTCCTAATGTTATGATGTTTCTATTATCCTTTAATTGTTAAAGCTGTATGGAATGCATGACTTGCCATCAGGGATCTGTGTTTTCCATTTGCCATGGGAAAATGCAGATTTTCTCATTTTAAGAAGAAAATTGCAGCTTTTCCCCTTTAAAGGAGAAAAATGTGGGAAACAGCAGGTTTTCCCTTGCAGGCTGGAAGAGTTTTAGCTTATAAGGGGCTGGGGGGAGTGGGAAGAGGGCAATCAGGCAGGGGATGCTATCTGCATGTGTACATGCACACATGGACATGGCTGCCAGGCAGCATAGAAAGCAGCTCCCACAGCTCCCTGCAGGTAAGTTGGGGGGGCAGGGGGGCCTCCATAGTGAAGGAGGGAGGGAGTCAGTTTGGCAGAGCTGGGGGTGCTCCCCAACCAGAGTGCTGCATGGGGCTTGGGGCCCAAGTCTGGGGTGGGAATGAACAGCCACAGGGCCCAGGCAGGGAGCAGGATGGAGCCATGAGCAGCTTGTCCTGGGAGGTAGTGGCTGGCTCCCCACCAGTGCATACACTCCAGGGTGGGGGGCATGTGCCCCCCAGATTTGTGCATGGGGTGGGGGTTGCCCACTGTGGGCTCAGGGCTCCCCACTCTGCTGTCCTTCCCCCGGGGGTGTGGCAGCATGGAGTTGTGTCCCCCACTGCTGCTGGGGAGGGTGGGGAGTGAAGGGGCATCAGTAGGGTCAGGGGGCTATGGGTCAAGAGTGAGGGGCACTGACAGGGATGGCGGGGGCTATGGCTTGGGAGTGAGGGGCAATGCCATGGGCAGGGCACCGGCATATCAGAGTTGCTCAGTGCCACAAAGCAGTGAGGGGAGGTGGGACAGCCACAGCTTGCCCATCTTGGTGAACAAAGGGGGCAGGGGGAGCTCTGATTTTTCCGTGATAAGAAAACCCAAAATCATATACCAACATTTATAGGTATTTAGAATTATTTTAACGACTGAAGTTTCCAAATTGCTTTGAAATTATAAATATATAGGTATCAGTTGAACACAATGTTTATTGATATGTATAGTGGCATTTCATTTTAATTGCAGAAAAACACGGATTTTGGGGGGTTTACTCAGACAACTTGTG